TCATGAACGACGATCGTGAAAAGATTGCGACAGAGATTGCAAAAACGAGCGAATCGATTCGCAAAAAATATCGCGCTTTGAAAATTGGTAGAATGGATGAAGATATTATATTGAAAAGGCAATTTAAGCCGATTACCGAGTCTTTAAAACAGCTTGTCGAAAATACTGTGGAATCTGATGCGTCGAAAATCGAACCGTTGAGTTTGACGTTTGGAGAGAAGCACGAGGAAAAAATAAAAGAGTCAAAGCAAGGAATAAAGCGAGCACGGATAAATATGCCGATAAACGATTCACCGATATATTCGACACTAAATCGATCAAAGCGAAGGAAGCAATTTTCTAATATGACTACTCCGATAAAAGTACAACCGCGTCAAATAATACCATCCACGTCCGTCGAAGAAATTTACGAGACCACACCCGATTCGTTTGTAACATCGGTCCAACATGAATTAGAAACGTCCGAAGGTCAGAAAACGTTCCGAGAGCATTTAGGTCTACTGGCGCAAAAATATATAGGAGATATTATGAGTGTTGATAAAAATAAGAGCATGGATTACGTCTACGATGTTAAATTTACTAGCGAAGGAATGATGCTCGGTGATAAATGTTTCGATGTGGACAAGGAAGATAATATAATTATCGATGGAATAAAATATAAGGGAACCGAAGGTATCTACGATTTGATTTTTAAAAAATTTCCCAATCATAAAAAATATACTCGAGACGATTTGTATTAATATCAAAGTATATTAAATATAAGAAATGCGCATAAGCGCGACAACAAAGTTAATAATCCTATTAAAACTAATAAAGGATACAAGTACAAATATATAATTGCGCCATTATTCCCCGATAGAAAGATGGGAAGAGGTATAGACGCGCCGCGCACTATGACGCTAAGCGACAACATGATCGATTACGTGCATTGGAACGATCCCAACGAATTGGATTGTTTGCAATTGCTGGACGCCTCGCGTCGAGCCGGCAACAATGCTCACGACAATGAAATCCTGTCAATTATCGCAGAATTTCGCAAGGCTGGCTTTATTATAAATTAAATTATGCGTCGACGATACGTATCATTCGGTGTTCTCGGTCCGAAATGTCGATTAATATATTTGGATTATCGCTGGGAACGTCGAACAATTTGTACTGAATGAAATGGATTATTGAGAAATTACGTTCGCGATAACGCTCTCTGCCAGACTACTACTGTTTTTGACACAAGGTCGCGCAAGATTCAACGCGTAGTACAACCGGAAGCTGATACTGACGCCGTCAACAAACGATACGTGGATAAACTTTTGAGAGATCGACAGGGAGAAATTGAGCAAAAAATTATCGCGCTCGAAACAAACGTGCAGGCGCTACGATTAATGATGGATGAGATAAAGAATGTGCTGAGATATGCAACATCTGACTCGATACAGTAAGCCAGATATACGGATATACTAATATCACATATTAATTATGCCTCGATTAAATGTGCGAGAGAACAAAAACACCTCCGAAAAGCGACAACTAGTCGAGGAATTACATGCTCCGGCGAGAAGAAATTTTCCACGAAGACGCGTCATAGTGCGAGGATACGACGATCTGTGGCAGGCGGACGTGGTGGACATGCGTTCGTATTCTCGACTCAACAAGAGTCATAAATACATACAGTTATCGATGTATTCAGCAAGTATGCGTGGGCCTTACCGCTCAAGAGTAAGAGCGGGAACGAAATGATCGCAAAGATTATTTGGAGACGATAAAAAGTGTTCGAAAAATTTTCAAACCGACAGAGGAAAAGAATTTTACAACTCGAGTGTGCAGAAACTTATGAAGAAACACAACATTAATCATTACTCGACATATTCCGTTATGAAAGCCTCGGTCGTGAAACGATTCAATTGTACTTTAAAAACAATATGTGGAAAATGTTTACGTTGAATGGAAATTACAAATGGATCGACGAGCTATCTCGACTTGTTGCAGAGTACAATACGCGAAAACATCGCACTATCGGTATGAGACCTGTCGACGTTACTCCGGCAATCGCCGAAACACTTTTAAATACGGTGTATAGCAACGTAAAAATTGTGGCTCCGGTATAATTTAAACTAAGCGATTCGGTACGCGTGAGCAAATACAAGACCATCTTTGGTAAAGATTTCACACCAAATTGGACGACCGAAGTTTTTAAGATTATCGAGGTGCAGGAAACTAATCCCGTGACATTCATACTCGAAGATTCGCGGGGAAATCCCGTCGCTGGAGGATTCTACGAATACAAGTTACAACGCGTCGTCAATCCCGATGTATATCTCGTGGCATACGTCTGACAAAGATAGAAACAGTCAATGATCGAGTGTCGACCCATTGCAAAGTACTCTCTTATCGTATCTTGCTTGTCACACGCCACGTCATCAAAGATAAAGATGAAATTCGGAAGCGCCTCGCTCGGTGGAATGATGTCGCTGTTATTAGAGAATGTAAAATAATTAATTTCATCTATAGATGTTAGTAAATTTTCCAAGTATTTGTATTTCGGCTATTGAAGCGATTTGGAGTATACGTACACGTTCTCGAAACGTATACCGTGCGGACTTTCTATCAAACTAATCAACACGTTTGTCTTACTACAGTTTGAAGGGCCGCAAATGATATCGCATATAGTAGTAGGCAGCATGTTTCCATGCTTGCGTACTTTTTTCTCCGATATTAGTCAGTAGTGATATTAAGAGAGTTCGAATCAGGTCCTCTCAGGGGGGGTGAGGCGCGAAGGGCACCGCGGTGCGGGGAAAGTGACGTCGCGGGGAAGGAGGAATTGCGGCGCGCGGTGGGTGACTTCACCCGCGGGGAAGGGGGATCCGCGGCGCGAGCGATGGACGAGGGGGTCCGCAAGGTGAAGGGGATCCGCGGCGCGAGCGATGGACGATGGGTCCACGCAGTGAAGGGGGATCAGCGGCGCGACCGTTGGACGAGGGGGTCCGTGCGGTGAAGCAGGATCCCCAGCGCGACCGATGGACGATGGTGTGAGAAGGACAGCGCTACGTATGGGAAAAGAACAGTGCAAAGTGTGTGAAGAGGACAGTGCTACGAGTGCGACAAGGATGGCGTTAACATGGGACAAGGACGACGTATAGGTGGGAGAAGGACGACGCAAAGGTAAGTGAACAACGAGTATATTCTAAGCGAAAGAGAGAGAACAATAGCCCGAAGATGACGCGTGCGAGAGAGAACGATAACGCAACGTGTGAGAAAGAACAATAGCGCGAAGACGACGCGTGCGAGAGAGAATGATAATACCGCGAAGACAACGATAATACTGCGAGACTTACAATTCGCGCGCGCGAAAGAGAGAACGATAATATCAAGATTAACGCATGGGAGATAACGATATTTAAAACTAGCGCAAGAGAGACGTAGGGATGGGAATGCATGGAGAGGCGCATAAATAATTAGTTTTTTTTTAAATTAAAATATAAAATATAAATTTATTTTAAAATGTGTGTGTTAATACAATTGTGTGTGTGTACTTAAAATTAAGATTATAATTTTAAATAATATAATAATAAAATAATAATAATATTGTTACGCGCGCGCCCGAGTCATCACGGCTCTGCCGTTGTCCGGATCCCGTCGGCAAGAAGATTATTTACAAACAACGACTCTCAGCTGAGTTCGGTTCCAGCTGTCTGGCTGCGCGGACGCGAATTTACATCGAGCCGCTAATTTTGTGTTGAATCGTTTTGTGTTATCGTTTGTGTTGCCCTGTGTTGGGAATTAAAGCTCTTAGTTACTTTTAAAAGTGTTTATTTATTTCGCGCGACTCGCGGGCGGCCGATCTTTTCGTGCGCGACTTCGATATTTATCGAAGTCCTCGCCGCGGGCGTAACAATATATAATTTTAAAAATAATAATATTGGGGGTCGGGGGTAGGGGGTGGGGTTCAGGGGAGCCGGGTCAGGGAGATGGCCACTCTTGTAACAGAAAAAAATATATAATTATATATATATATATATATATATATATATATATATATACATATATATATATATATATACAGGGTGTTCATATATTATAGGAAATAATGAGAGGAATCAATTGGTCTACAAAAAAAACACATAATTGTTCCGAAGAAAAAATATGTAATTTGCAATTAACAATTACATATTTTTTCTTAAAAACAACTGTATATTTTCTTTACACCAATTGATTCCTCTCATTATTTTGTACATAAAAGTATTAAGGTAAAATAATCGAAAAGTGAATATTTTACAAGATATTTTACGGTTTATGTAAAATTAAGAAATGATTTGAAGCCTCATAACTCGATAAATGCTTGAGGGAAAAATATTTTATTATAGTGTTTTGGAAAGCTCTCGAGGTCAGCTATAAGAATATACAATCAAAAATAGGGGTTTCCCATTTAAAAAAAACACTTTGACCTTCAAATAACCTTGAAGGTCAAGCTCAAGGTCAAATTCAAGGTCACGAGATAAAAGCTCGGAGTAAGCCCTACAACTTTTGTCCGAAAAGTTTCTTTGTCCGACCCTTACTTTTCGAGTTATTCCCCCGTACCAGGACTTTTTGAACACCCTGTATATATATATAAGACCCTTCCTATCTTGAAGGGTTGGTTAATTCATCTAACTCAATTGTGTTGCTCTGTAAACAAAGTTCTTTTATTAATACCAATTATCTTAACACTATATTTACATAATTTACAGGCACCCTCACCTGTAAACAAAGAAACGACAATTAAAGTTTATAATTTCTATAGCGAATATAATTTTACAATGACTAAAAAGATTCTCCAATTCTAACTGGCTCATCTCAGCTGTTATCTCGACTCTTATCTCAGCCGCAGTAAACTATCGCCTTCGCCGCCGTCTCTATCTTATCTACGCATGTGCGCGGGAATATTTAAATAAGAAAATATATTTTCTTTACATCTCCCCTTCTAGGAGAGAAAATTCGTAAGAATTTTCGTTGTAGTTAAATGTAATTTAGTCTTCTTTTTTTATGTCGTTTATAGGTACCGGAACTAACTTTGTTATGTGAAAGAAATTGGATTCTTCCTTTTTGTGACCGGTGTCTAATTTGTAGATGGAGTCCGAAATCTTCTCTGTAATCTTGTATGGTCCAATATTTAATTCGTCTAATTTTTTTCTATTTAATTTATTGCCATTTTCCACGTATACTATGTCTCCTATTTTATAGTTATAGTCCTTGCGATTTCTGTCGAATAGATTTTTGTTGTATGCGTGTGATTTTTTTGTATTCTCAATAGCTTTTTGTCGGTCTTTAGTCCAGTCTTCCTTTTGTACATCCTGTTTTAATTCTTTTGGTATCAAAGTAACATCTGTTCCATATAGTAGGTATCTTGGTGCGAAACCCGTGACTGTATGTTCAGTATCATTGTATTTATTTATGCATTCTTGAGCTATCGTAGTCCATGCTTTCTTATTCCCTCTCTCGTTTATTTTACATCTGATTTTGTTGACTAGCGTCTGGTTTAATCTTTCGTTTAGGCCATTGGAGAACGGTGCATTGACTGCTGTGAAAATCATTGTTATCAGTGTTCCGATCAGGGATTCCGTGCGCGCGCATATGCGGTTCTGCGCATGCGCAACTTTTGAAATTACATTGTACTTTCACGGTCGCGCAAGTGCGGAGCCGCACATGCGCGCGCACAGAATCCCTAATCGGAACACTGATTGTTATTGACCTTTCCTCTAAGAAGTCTTTGAATTCATTTGAATTGATTCCTGGGTATTGATCCGTTAGTAACATATTAATGTCATCCGTTTTAGTGATTTTTGTAATCAGTTTTACGAAATCTTTTGTACTTTGCGTTTTCGATGTTGAAATGAATGCAAATCTTGTAAAGTGATCTACTAACAAATGCAAATATCTCTTCGTTGATCTTGAGCCCCCGAATCCGCCGATTGTATTTATGGAAACTATTTCGAATGGTTTTGTGGCTGGACCTAAGTGAGACATTAGACCAAGTTTGTGTCGACCTCTAGATTTGTTTTTTACACAGACCTCACAGTTTCGGCAAATTCTTTTTATGTTTTGTATTAGATTTAGTGATGTATATATTGAACTTATTTTTTTTTCCATTTGTCTTATACCGATATGACACAAATTGTTGTGTACAACTTCAATTAATTTCAAAGCTAATTTTTCTGTTAGGATAATTTTTTCTTTTTTTCTAACTTTTTTATAGTACACATTTTCCTTCTTTATAAATTTTTTCTTATTTTTTTGAATTTCTTTATTTTTAGTTTGATCTGTTAAGATTTCTTTTAATGTTATTGAGTTTACAACTTTTAGTTGTTCATCTTCATTTTCATTCTCGTTTAAAACCGGATTTCTGCTTAAACAATCTGCTTCTAAATTCTTCTTTCCTGGAGCATATTTGATTTTGAAGTCATATTGTGATAGATAGTAAGTTAGATCCCCCAGCTCTTCATCTGTTCTTGATTTTAGATTCATATTTTCCAACGGCTTATGGTCTGAGAAAACCGTGAACGATTTATTTATCAGCCAGTATTGCCAGTATTTCACAGCTTCTTTAATTGCTAGGCATTCCAAGTAAATAGCTTTTTTCTTTTTCTGAGGTTCATTTAATTTTTTTGAAAAATATGCTACTGGCTTTTCTTTCCCATCCGGTTGTACTTGTTTTAGAACTGCTCCTACACCTATTAAGTAAGCGTCTGTATAAATATTTATTGGCAAATCCTGATCAAATATTGTTAAGATCGGTTTTGTGCAAAGCATATGTTTTATTTTCTCAAATGATCTTTGGCATTTTTCTGTCCATGTAAAAGTTTGATTTTTCCTTAATAAATTATGTAAAGGGTCTAAAATTATTGCGCTGTTTGGTATATATTCGTGATAAAAATTTATCTTGCCTAAAAATTGTCTGACGTTTTTTTGTGTTTTTGGCACTGCGAAATTTTTTATTGCTACTAAGTTGTCCTTTACTGGTTTAATTGAATTATTCTGGATGATGTGACCAAGGTATTTTGCTGAGTCCGAGGCAAATGTACATTTTTTGAATTTTATTCTGAAACCTTCTGTTTTTATTGCTTGCAGCAATTGTGTTAGGTGATTAATGTGTTCTGCGAAAGATTTTGAAAAAATTAAGATATCGTCTATATAATTTATTGTAAAATTAGTTAATTTATATTTTCTTAATATGTTACTGAATATTCTCTGGAAGATGGCTGGGGCTGTCTTGAGACCAAAGGGAAGACATGTCCATTGATAGTGCCCCTCCTGCGTTACAAAGCCAGTTTTACTTCTGTCTTCAATTCTTAGAGGGATCGACCAAAAGGCTGAGTTAATATCCAGTGTTGTAAAAAATATACAGTTTCTTGTTTTTGCTGTTAAATCCTCTATTAGTGGAAATGGCTGGGCCTGAGGGATAACTATTTTATTTAGGTCCCTAAAATCCATACATAATCTAGATCTTTTATTTTCTTCTTTTTTAAGTGCAAGAGTTACTGGTGCCGAAAATGGGCTGTAAGATTCTTCTATAAGATTTTTCTCTAATAATTTTGATATTTGATCTTCAATTTCTTGTTTGTCTTCCATAGTACATCTATATGGTCTCTTACTACAGTATGTGTCAACTAGTAAGTCTATTCTTGCTTCATAGTTTCTCACTGAGCCAACATCGTATTTGTCTTTGGCAAATATTGCCTTATATTTTTCTAGTATTTCGTCTATTTTATTTCTCTGATATGTAGTTAAGTGTTTCCTATTTATGACAAAATCTTCTTCTTTTATATGTTCGTTGAAATTTACTAAAATTTTTTTTATATTTTTATTTTCTTTTTTTATATCTGATACTTCTGAAATTTTTTTTTTCATTATTGTTTATCTTTTTTCCTATATCAATCTTTTGTGTTATATCTAAATTTTCATTTTGACATAATTTAAATTTTATTATCATGTCGAGCCCGATTAAAAAGTCATATTTAAAGTTTTCATCGTCGACAATTACCACATCTGTTTTTTTTTCTATTTCAAAGATTTTAATTTTTAGGTTTGCTAAACCACTTGATTTTTTAACACCATTAATTGTCCTCAAATTTTCATTATTAATGTTATTTTTATTTTGTTTTAATTTTAGTAGTTTATAATTAATTATAGAAATATTTGATCCTGAGTCGTATATTCCCCATACTGTCCATCTATCATTTATCTGTAATTTGACTCTTATTAATGGTGTTATTGGTCGTTTTTTTGATCCTTGTTATTTAACTCTGCTTCTATTTCGGAATTATTAACATGTTTTATCGAACTGTTCTGTCCTTGATTCTGATTTTTTTGTTTATACCAGCATTTTTCCTCCGGATGATAACGGTTTATTTTTCCTAATTTCTCACAATTTTTACAAAGTTTATGTTGTTCATAGTCTTTCTTTGTATTTATTGTATCACTTCTTTTTGTAAAGAGTTTCTTTTTATTAAGTATATGTTCATATTTGCTAATTTCATTATGCAGACCTGTTGTATCTTTTAATGTTCCTCTATCAATTTTATTGATTATTACTTGTGGTAATCCAGCTGCGATAAGATCTATTAATGTTCCTGGATCTATAGAATTTCTCATATCTAACAAAAGTTTTTCTTTTCTTATCGCATAATCAAGTAATGATCCTTCTCTATATTTAAATAATAGTGCGTATATCACTGGACTCCAGCCTTTATTAGCAAATGTCTCGCAAAATTTTTGCTTCCATACTGGCCATTCTGAGTTTAGGGATAACTTCATTATCATAGAGCTGTACCAGTCTGTAGTTGACTTATCCATGAAAAGTCTAAGAATTTCAATTTTTTTTTCATCACTGATTATATTAAAGCGTAGACACTCTTTTTCAAATATCTCCATCCATTGGTTTGCATTAGTATTTTTACTTGTGAATTTTTCTATTATAAATTGTTGGGAAATTTTCTGTAAATTTTCTTGCTTAGCCGTTTGAGTATTTTCTATTAGTTTTTCTAGAAGTTTGTTCAAGGTGCTGCCTTCTTCTTGTGTTTTCATTGTTCCGAATTCCTCGGTGATTTCTTCTAAAAATTCCTCTCCAAATTTCATGTTCCCCATTTGGTCCATGTATGTTTTAGCTAAATCTTCAGTTATTTCTAACCAAACCTTTCTTAATTGGTGCCTTTTTTTAAAACTTTTTTTTATCATATCATATGTATTTGTTTTTACTATTTCTTTATGATTACTTGCTGCTTGATATTCCTCTGGTATTGAGAAAACTTTATTGTTCTCAGTAGTAATTGAGGTTATGCAAATAATGTTTGACTTGCCATCATTTCCTGGCTTCACTTTGAACTCGAATTGTAATTTATTCATAGTTTCTAGTTGGTAAACAAAATTGTCGTTTTATAAGACCCTTCCTATCTTGAAGGGTTGGTTAATTCATCTAACTCAATTGTGTTGCTCTGTAAACAAAGTTCTTTTATTAATACCAATTATCTTAACACTATATTTACATAATTTACAGGCACTCTCACCTGTAAACAAAGAAACGACAATTAAAGTTTATAATTTCTATAGCGAATATAATTTTACAATGACTAAAAAAATTCTCCAATTCTAACTGGCTCGTCTCAGCTGTTATCTCGACTCTTATCTCAGCCGCAGTAAACTATCGCCTTCGCCGCCGTCTCTATCTTATCTACGCATGTGCGCGGGAATATTTAAATAAGAAAATATATTTTCTTTACATATATATATATATAGTAAAAATATATACGAGGTGTGGCTATTAAATAACGAGACTGAATTAAAAAAAGAGGTTTATTATTAAAATTATGGTACAATGGTTTTTTCCCCTTCAATATATTCCCCTTGTCTACTAATACACCGTTCCATACATTTCTTCCATTGTTGGAAACAATGCTGGAAGTCTTCTTTCGTTAACTCTTTCAGCACCTCTGCCGCTTTCTCTTTTACCGCTTCTATCGACTCGAAATGCGTTCCTTTTAACGCAGATTTTAACTTGGGGAACAGGTAAAAGTCACATGGTGCCAAGTCAGGCGAATAAGGCGGGTGGTTCAGCACGGGGATCTGTTTTTCGGCCAAAAATCGTTTTGCGGATAACGCGCTGTGTGCGGGTGCGTTGTCTTGGTGCAAAATCCACGAGTTGTTTTTCCAAAGTTTTGGTCTTTTTTTGCGAACACGTTCCCTCAACTTTGTCAAAACTTCAAGGTAGTATGTTTGATTCACTGTCTGGCCCTCAGGCACCCATTCCACCATCACAATTCCATTAATATCAAAAAAAACGATCAACATTGACTTGAATTTTGATTTTGACATGCGAGCTTTTTTGATTCGGGGAGAGGTTGGAGTCTTCCAATGCATAGATTGTCTTTTAGTTTCAGGGTCATATTGAAAAATCCAAGTCTCGTCACATGTGATAACTCTTTCCAGAAGATCTGGCTCATCGTCGAGGCGTTCAATTATGTCTGAGCAAATTTGCAACCTTGTGAGTTTTTGGTCTTCGCTGAGGTTTTTCGGTACTAGCTTCGCACAAACTTTCGAC